CTTCTGCTTCATTGACTATGCAAAAGCCTTTGACTGTGTGGACCACAGCAAACTATGGCAAATTGTTAAAGAAATGGGAGTGCCTGATCACCTTGTCTGTCTCCTGAGAAATCTATATGTGGGACAGGAAGCAACAGTTAGAACTGGATATGGAACAACTGAATGGTTCAAAATTGGGAAGGGAGTACGACAAGGCTGTATATTGTCTCCCTGCTTATTTAACTTATATGCAGAACACATCATGCGAAAGGCTGGACTAGAGGAATCTTTAAAAGCAGAGACATCACCTTGCTGACAAAGGTCTGCATAGTCAAAGCTATGGTTTTTCCAGTAGCGATGTATGGAAGTGAGAGCTGGACCATAAAGAAAGCAGACCGCCGAAGAATTGATACTTTTGAATTGTGATGCTGGAGGAGACTCTTGAGAGTCCCCTGGACTGCAAGGAGATCAAACCTATCCATTCTGAAGGGAATCAACCCTGAGTGCTCACTAGAAGGACAGATCCTGAAGCTGAGGCTCAGCTCCAATACTCTGGCTATCTCATGAGAAGAGCAGACTCCCTGGAAAAGACCCTGATGTTGGGAAAGTGTGAAGGCAAGAGGAGAAAGGGGACAGCAGAGGACAAGATGGATGGACAGTATCATTGAAGCTACCAACATGAATCTGACCCAACTTCAGGAGGCAGTGGAAGACAGGAGGGCCTGGCGTGCTTTGGTCCATGGGGTCATGAAGAGTCAGACATGACTTAATGACTAAACAACAACATACTGGCACTGTCTTTAATTCTGAGTCACCTTTATACTTCCCCACAGACATTCTGACCTAGCAAAGCAACCTGTCTTACAGTTGTGGCAAGTCTGATCAACCAAGCAGTAGCAGATCAGCTTCGCTTTAGGTAATTTTGGATGAAGTGGATTATCTGGCTAGGTTTTATTCTGGTGTCATGCTAGTTTCTGAACGGAAACTATCTTAGTTGTCTGGTAGATAACCTGTACCAATAAGGTGACAAGGAAACACTTAGTTGAACTTGGCTGGTTCTCCTAAATGCCTCACCAACTGCTGATGCCACTGAGCATGTGGCATTCTGCACCACCTCTGTGAGGAGGTACTCCTGCAGGAATTATTTTGCAATCGTACTGTTCCTATGGTACAGACTGGCTTAGAAGAACAGTGCTCGGATAGAGTGACCATTATTCTGTGGCTAGAGTCCACCTGTGAACTCGGTAGGACATACATACATGGTGACTTACCATTCAGCCATTTATTCAATGGGTCCACTCTTTGTTCGGACTAGCAATAGGATTCTGTCTTATGACTCTGTGGAATGTTTCCTGTGATGTTCCACATGCCTCCCATTTTCTCTTCCATGCTTTGTTAAGATATATGTGAAACTATTAAGTGGAGTTGTTTGAAGTTCTGGAGCACGGTATCAAGCAATTCTCTTTCCCTCTGCATCAGTTCCAGCAGGTTCCTCCTGCCGGAGGACATAGCCTCCCATTTTCTCTTCTGTACTTGTTAAGATATATGTGAAGCTATTAAGCGGAGTTGTTTGAAGTTCTGGAGCACAGTGTCATTGGTTTGTTGATGACAAACAATTCTCTTTCCCTCTGCATCAATTCCAGCAGGTTCCTCCTGCCGGAGGACATAGACTGGATGATTATGAAACAGCCGCCTAGAGTGGTCTTTTAGGCCAGACGGGCGGAGTATAAATCAAATAAATCCAATCAAATCAAATAATCCAAGGCGAGATGGAATGCTGTTGTAGGAGTGGACAGTGGTTCATGGAGGTTCTAAATGAAATAACATAACTTCCCCTGAAGGAACAGGTTTATCAAGGAGATTGTCTTCATCCGTGAGCCTCCATCAGCAGAGAAAAGCTAGGGCAAGGCAATTGATTAAGAATTTATAGACTGTATCTGGCTCTAAAAGGCAGGGATGTTGGCAAGTCTTTGGATCTGAGTCCCAAGTCCAAGTCTTTAATCTGAGTCCCTATTAAAAACTCCCAGAAAAAACAGTCCAAGTCCAAGACTTTAATTTGAGTCCCTATTAAAAACTCCCAGAAAAAAAGGAGGGAGGAAGTGGATTCTGAGTCACAAGTTGAGTCCGGGTCATTGGGGGAGGGAAAAACCAAGTCGAGTCACTGGTGCAACTTAAGTCTGACTTGACAGCAAGTCCCACCACTCAAGTCCTCAACCCTGCTAAAAGGGCTCCCCAAGTGGCTTTCAAATGAAGATGGTGACCCTACACACATTTACCTAGGTCTTATGTTTGAGTCAGCATATATTGAATTGCACTATAACATACACAAGTACTATTTTAAAAATAACAGCAATGCACCACCCCCTCTGCTTTAGAGTCATTGTGAGCCCCTCTGGATGGGCTGTGTTTCCCCCTGCCCCCCCCATCAATGCCCATTTACTAACAGGAGCAACTCAGATTATCTCCCCACCTTGACCCCCTGGGAAGCATGGTATAGCAATGGCACAATGATATCTGTTTCAGTAGAAAAATTGGTATAAAACAACATTTAGCAAAACGTCACTAATCAAATCAAGCGATTTTCTTATGGGATGGTCTGCAACATACTAGCTGAAGATTATCCAGCTCAGTAAACAAAAGCAACATCAGCAGCAGCAGCAAGTACTACGACAACAACAGATTTCTGTTGTACACATTATTTTATTGTTTTTGTGGAAGGCTGTGGATTGCTTATTTCTTCAGCTGGTGCAGTATAACTGAAATTAGGCTCTTTTGGACAGGCTGATTTCATGTGTACTGAACCTGAAGTGTGCCCCTCAGCCCCCATCTGCACTTCCAGTTCAAGCCCCTCTAGCTCAATGGCTGTTTACTCAACTAGATGAGTATATCTCAGAAGCTGAGAGATGAACAGAGAGTCCAAGACGTTTTCAGCCTGTATAGTGGAAAGTGACTGTGCAAGAGCAGAGGCATTGCTCCATTCTAGCTCTGGTGGATTCTAGCTGAGTGCTCACAGGAAATCTGGAAGGGTCTGGTTCATATTCAGGCAAGGGAGGGATGGCTATTGCAGTGCTCTGAGACCACTGTCAATCAGAAGGCAACTGCTGCACCCTCTACAATGCATTGCATTTTACCTCCATCCAACGGGTAAGTCTTTGGTTGGACTGTCTTCATAAAGGACCCTGGTTTGGCCATGTTGATGCCTGAAAAATAATTTTTATTAGAAAATATTGTTTTAGTAATCCTCTTTCCATATGAGCAGAGCATGTGATTTCTTTTTTTTTTTGTTAATATCGTAATAAGAGAGAGATGCCCGTACAACTACCAAACATACATATATATAGAAATCCTTGGATATATATGTGTGTATACGTAACTATGGCCCCCGAACCAATGCATATGCAATTGACCAACTATAATTAATTTCATAATATATAATTGTGTTTTTAATGCAATAAAATATCAAAATCCTCCAAATGTTGGCAACATATTGGCTATAACTTTCCTTCTTGTACGATGTTAGATTCCAAAGAATATTCTCTCCTTTCTCTCTTGTTCAGATCAGTCCGTTGTTTTGCCTCTTTTGTTTATTCCTCTCTAGTCTCTCTCTTTTTCTCTCAGTCTCTCTCTCTCTCTGGCTCTCTTTCTCTTTCTCTCCTTCCTTTGCTCCCTCCCTCCTTCCCTGTCCCGGATTCTGCCCCCTCCTTCTTTCTCTTCTTCTTCTCTCGCATTCTGAGACTGAAACGTTCTTCCCTTGTTTCAAACCCCTGCCGGATAACGTTACCTTTCTGTTGCAGATTTTGAATACCTGCTGCCAAACAGCTTTGAGTCCGAGGGACATGTATTCATTGCTCCAAGGTAGCTTTGCGTGTGCGCTTGCTGAGGTGTCCATTCAACCACTCTTCCCCCAACACCAATCCTGGGACGGGTGCAGCTCCTCCTTCCCATCTTGACTTCCCTCCCTACTGCACCTTTAAATATTCTCCTTCATCACTCCTGCCTCTTTCAGAGCTGACGCCTCCTCATTGTGCCAAAGTCTTGATCATTCTTTCTTTCTTCTTCTTCTTTTTGTGTCTGTCGTCTGCCTGTGTGCCGCTCTTGAGACTACGGCTGCCACCTTCACCTGCAGACACCACTATGGGTGGCAGCACAGTGGTCTCACCTCCTGTTCACTCACCTACATAAGAAGAATATATATATGTATGCCTGCGTATATGATAAATATGTACACATACATATATAGGTATAGTTTCTGAAAATACTGACAAAATAATAGATAATGATGTTTGGACCATGTTGAGATCATACAATCCTGGTAGATAAATTGGGCCTGGGGGGGAATGTATATTCTACACAAATTTTGCGTAAGCCAAAAGTCCCCTTCACAAGAAAAGAGGCTTGTTTGCAATTCTATTAGATTTCTTGAGGAGCAATTTTAGCCAGTTAATCTTCCAACAATACAGTGGTTTGCACTCAATATCTCATTATTCAATCAACATGAGGCATTTTTTGCCCAATATTGTTTCTGACTTCTGTCTAGTTAACCAGACAATTTTATCACATGGTTGGTATTTAAATTATGGAGATGGCTTATTTTTCTTAGGTAGGATTTCACAAATACCAGATTTAAGGAACAAATATGACATAGTGACAACATGGATCACTGTGCCACTTCTATTAGTGAAAATCTCACAGAATTTTAGGAAAATCACCTGGTTATGCAGAATTTTGTAAAAAAAATATTATAAATGATACAATACTGCAAGTGACTTTTTTGAGACCAAATTAAGTTCAGAGTTCTGAAAAATTGCACTCTTGAAATTATCTTTTTTTAAAATAACAAAAATTATTACAACAATTATTTTGGCAACTTGACCCTTTCCCAATTAAGGTTTTCCACATTTTCTTTTAATTCAGCATGGTTGTAGTTTTTGGACTGGTATTAAAGAGGCCTGAATTCCACTCGCTCTTAAAATTCATTATCTTTTCAGCCTAAATTACATCCCAGAGTTGCTTTGAAGATCAAGTGGCAGGAAATGAGAATGATGTGTGCCACTCTGGGCTCCTTGAAGGAAATGTGGGGTTTCAGGAAGCGAGGAAGTTGCCTCACACTGAGACAGGCTGTTGGTCCCTCTGGTTCGGCACTGTCCCATTGATTGGCTGGCAGTTCTCCAGGGCTGAAGCAGCTATAAGATTTATCATCCTGAGACAAATGGATCTCATACTAAACATTTTGTATACAGTACTCTATTCAATATAAGAGGTGAACAGTAGAAGCAGACACTTTAGTAACTGATTAGAGGAGCTTTTGCTTTTTTTGCTATGCATAAGTGTAGAACATGCAGTGGGATTTTATCCAAAGCACTGCTCAAAGTCTCCGTCACTGTCAAATGTAAGCAAGAAGCTAATGGCGCTTTCTTACATACCGAGTTTTGCAGGCTTCAACTTTTTCTACAATACAAAAGTCAAGACTTGGAAGCATTGCTTCCCTCACCCTGCACAACACACAAAATATCTGATCTGGGCCATCTGTCAGAACAGATTTCTGTGCCATCAAAGCCTAATGCCTTAGATTCACATGAGAGCTGTTTAGCGCCAGCTGCACTAGCTGCTAGCAAACCCGGCAGCCCCAATAATACCAGGAAGTCTACTAATGTGAACATATACTATCTCATCAGTACTAATATGGCCAATAGCCCTTGGTAATTTTCAGAAACCATATATCACTAATGGTTTATTTGTGAGCGTGTAAGCACATATATCTGTACACGTGTGTGTAGATATATAGGTGGATGCAGTGTTGTATATTTATAGGTCTTTCACAAGCAAAATTATATGGGCAGGATGGTTTGATACCCATCTAAGAACACTTGTAATATGTGGATGGAAAATCAAGTGGTTAACAATGCAGAATGGGCTGCCCTTTTAGCAACCTCTGCTGAAATGGTAACTGCAACATTTATACATGAACCCAGCAGGTTATCCAACCTCTTCATGCAAACACATTTTAAGTGCTTTTGCAATTGATGGAAATTTATGTTCCAGAATCTGACAGGTGGGGTTTTCTGGATGTGTCTATGACAAATACATTATTACAAGACATTCCTATCCCATAAAAAGGCCTGTCCATAGCAAATATGAGGTACAAGGGGAGCCCACTCTCTATACATCTATATTGCTGGATTTTTTTCCAGCCTCCACAAGGTACAAAAGCAGGATGTCATTTAGAGATTTCAGCTCAACTACACTGTACCAATGAGTATGGATCAAGAACAGATCTCACAGACAGTGAAAAACAAGCACAACCTTCACTGGTTCACAGTATCAATGCAATACCTTGGTCCAATCACTAGGATGCAAATAGTAAAGACATTACGATGAAAAAGGAGAGATGGCTTCATTGATAATTGTGTAAAAGAAAGAATTTGTCTGAATAATTGTGATTTCTGTGAATTGTTATATGCAACTGTTAAAGGTGTATCAGCTTTCCCTTCTTTTTCATCTGATCATCCTACCTTTCACTTTGGTCGAAATGTGGTTTCCCTGACTTGACTGATTAAGAACTACAACTATGTCACAACTGGTTTTTGCTTTTCAAAAAATGAGAATGTGGTTGCCAGAACACTGTGGCACAAATATTTCAGGTTCTAAATGAGAATGCAGGTAATGCAGCTATCTAGGAAAGGGAAGCATTCCAAGATCTGTATTCCAGCAACCCGTTGTCCGAAGCAAGGTGGGGGCGGGGGTCACTGCCATTTTGGGGTGTGGTACTTCACTGTTCAGATAATGGGTTGCTCCTAGATATATATTCCAGCAACCCGTTGCCCGAAGCAAGGGGGGGTCACTGACATTTTGGGGTGTGGTACTTCTCTGTTCAGATAATGGGTTGCTCCTAGATATGTGCATAGATCATCTATTTTGGAGACATGTGGATGCAACAGGAAATAGACCCTGGATTCATTTCTGCTCTGTGAGTCGGAAGCAATGTGCTTGTGTAAACCTCCTTGTCTCCAACTTCTTTTAGATGCTTCTCCTCCAATACTAACCAGGCCCAACCCTGCTTAGCTTCTGTGACAGATGAGATGAGGCATGATCTGGCTGGTTTGGCCATAGGCAGTTGGGTGTTTCCAGGAGCAGCTTCTACGTGCAATTGTCCTGCCTCATTCATACAATTTTAACAGCATGTCCAAATGACATTGCTTCCACTCATAACTCTCCCATATCTTGCTAACACTTCTTCCATCCATTAAGGAGGGACCGAATAGCTCCATAGTGTCTTTTGATTGGAAGCACTAGCCTGCTTGGAAGCTTTTCCGGTCTCTCTCCCTTCCTCTCCCCCCCCCTCCCCAATATTTTTAGAAGCTTCAGTTAAAACGAAGAAAAAGAATACCACAGCCCTAGGCCACTCTGTGTTCAAAACTGCTGCCCAGCACTTACTCACTCCTTTTTTGTGCGTCACTGAAAGTTCTGTGCTGCAAACACTTCCAGTGTACGGGAGTCCCGCAAGGTTCATGGCTCCTTTAAAGATTTCTTATAGACGATAACATTCAAAGGGGGGGCATTTGAGTACATTTAATTGATTCTGTATGCATGGAGCATATGTAGAGCAGATTTGAAATGCTTCATACTGAAGGGCATGCAGCTAAAAGTCTATCTTGCACTGAGTTGCCCCCTTGCACAGTAAATGGGGAAGTGCAAACATTTTTCTCCTCCCTTCAAGACTGCAATGTTTATTTATTTGTTTGTTTATGTATAGATTTGTTTACTTGATTCAATTTTTGGGTCACTTTCAGCTGGATAACTCAGTGAGTGAAGTATCTTGCTGTAGAACTAGAGGTTGGGAGTTCAATCCCCCACGGTGCCTCCTGTGAGTAAAGCCAGCCTGTGTGGCCTTGGGCAAGCTGCACAGTCCCAGGGCACCCCCAGAAGAAAGGAATGGTAAACCACTTCTGAGATCTCTGCCTGGAAAACCCTGAAAAGGGTCGTGCTAAGTCGGAATTGACTTGAAGGCTCACAATTATTATTAGGCATATCCAATGTGGAGTAATGGATAAAATGACATACTAGGACTCAGGAGACCTGGGTTCAAATCCTTTTTGATTTGAATTTTGATTTCATGGCTCAGCCATGAAAGTTTACTGGGGGTAGATGGAAGCAGTAAAACCACTCCTTAAATATCTCACTTACCTTGAAAATCTTATTAGGGTTGCTCTAAGTCAATGCCGACTTGACAGCGCATAGCAACAACTCATATTTCTCTAGCATTCATGAAAGTGACTTTTTAAGTCAATGCCGACTTGACAGCACATAGCAACAACTCATACAGTATTTCTCTAGCATTCATGAAAGTGACTTTAGAGCATTTCTATAAAACCGTACATTATTGGAAAATGCAGTAAGTATTGCCTACTTGCATGGACCGGCAGACATAATAGCACTGGATGGACTTATGGCAAGTGCAGTCTGGGCAGTTGCTTCTGCTACTCAAAGTTTATTACCCTGTTAGATTACAGTACCAGCTCGGCTAATGCCTGTGTAATCCAAGCAGCTTTTGTGGATGAATCTCTGTGTTGTTAAAGAAACTGGAGCTTCCTGGACTGCATTCAGCTCAAAGCCTAATGCAGAGGTGATTGTGGTAGATTTGGGAGCAGCGTCAGAAGCAAAACCAGACGGAGAGCAAATATGGCTCCTGAGACCTAGATAAGATGCAACCCATGTGTTGCTCTAGTTGGTATCTAATTTGACGTTGGGCATATATTTGCAGGTGAGGTGCAGTGGGCTTAACCACCCCACCAGTCCATCAGCCACTTCATCCCTATAGTGGCTTTCTCCACTTGCAGCTTCCTTACCCTTCTTCTTTTCCGAGCGGGGATGGGTTATGGTGTTGAATTAGGTGGACAAAAAAAAAACGATTCAGCATCTTCTTCCTCCTGTCCATTCTCCTTCCAAATGTCAAAAGAATGTTGAATTGACCTACTTTCTCTGTAAATGACTAATCTGCTAGCTAACTACATAAAATCAGTCTAGTGGGGATGGCTTGTCCACTGGACTGAAGAAGAGACAAAGGAAGGATTTCCCCCCATTTTTTAAAAACATAAAAGCCAAGTGCTTCTTTGTCCCAGAATGCATTGCTAGGTCCGTATATGGTACCTCTACACCAACCAGTGACTAATTGATGCAGTCTGCAAGTGTTCACTTTGAGAGTGCAGACCTAATGAGCACAACAGCTTGCTAAATTTGAGGAGCAGTATCCTGTTCAGTATTGACAGGTTCAGAACCCTAACTGGAGAAGCTGCTACTGTGATCTTCCACAGTGCTGCCCATATGCCTGAGTGTGTGCAGTCTGTGTCTTGTCAGATCATTGCACCAGCTTCTTTAGTTGGTGTTCCTTTATATATAAACATATATATAAACATTGAACAGAATACCTGCCTTGGACTTTTCTGTTTAATTCCTCTACATTTTGTCTGATGAGGACTCATGGAACATTTGAAAGCTTGCACACATTTGTGGCAAACAAGCAGGAAATTGCCTCTAAATACAACATACATTGAAAAAAAAATTATAAATGGTTTCATAAAGTGAGCCTGCCAAGATATTGCCTGGAATGGTCTTACAGAACAAGATTCAAGGCTGTGTCAGTACATACCATAATAAGTGGCTGGTGCTGTGTATATATCTTAAATTGATACAAAGCCATGGCTGATCTTTGTGTCCCTTTTATTTGGGGAATATATTTGCTATTTAGGAAGAGTCTAGTAAAAATCGGTCAGGCACAGCATTTAGAACATAAAGTTAAGGGGATATTATTCCCAAAGATATAAAAAATTGATGCTTGCATGATTACTGTGTTAGATCATTAAAGATATCTATATCCCAGATGCCTAATTTGCATTAATTTATAGTATGATATGTATCCCATCAAACATCATGAACCAGAAGTGTAGTCTCACCGGGAGGAATATTTTATGGTTTATCCTGCTCTGTGTTTTACAACTGGAGTGTCCCTGCCTCCCTTGAGATGACACTTACATGATGAAGGTGGCTTTCAGTAACATCACTGTGACATTCTCAGCTTCCCACAGAAGGATCCCATTATTTACATACAAAGTCCATCTTTCTAAAACAGGAGCGGTGAACCTGTGACCACTATCACCCTCAGCTCTTGGTGGACTCTTGCTTCTGTCAGTCCCTGTCAGCATGACCAGTGGTCGGAATAAAAGGATTTGTCATTAAGTGACAGCTGAAGGGCAGCAGATTTCCTACTCTTGAAATCAAGTCAGACAAAAATTAAAGAAATCTATGGAAAAGAATTCAAGTAAAAGACGGATGAGAAGAAAAGAAGTTGGTTGTTGTGGGTTTTTCAGGCTCTTTGGCTGTATTCTGAAGGTTGTTCTTCCTAACATTTTGCCAGTCTCTGTGGCCGGCATCTTCAGAGGACAGGAGTCAAAAAAGAAGTGTCACAAAACCACAGAACCAAAATTACGTCAGACCTTCTGGCTTTTTCCCAATGTGCTTCATAAAAATATAAGTTTTGTATGTTGGGTGCTCATATAGAAGCTATGCTATTTGATACAGCAGGAATCTTTTAAAAAACATAGGCCACCATGCGGAAAAAAAGATCCACTTTTGCTTGAAATTTTCCTTACTGCTAAAATAATTTAATTAAGCCACTTAATTTTACAATTACTGCACATATAAAAAAGCTGTCATGATATAGTTTCACATGATGCTGGTGTTCTGTGTTGGGTGGCATCTAAAACCCATTCAGGTAGTATGTAATTGAACTGGTAAATAAATGCCAGGTAACACCCAAGGACTAACCTCCTTCTATTCAGGCATAAATTGACTCCATATTATTTAATGGTGTTTTCATTCTTCTTGACAAGTTCCATAATGGCAATGCAGGATGCCCAAATATCACTTTTTTGTATGTGCACACCATCCATAACTTATAATCTTGCACCACTGTGGGCTCAGGCACATAGAAAAACTCATTAGTTGTGGATAGAAATCTGATTTGAAAAATTTCAGACCCTTAAAAATCTGTTTTCTCCACTCTTTGATGCTTCCATAAAGATATCTATAGAAATAAATTCCAAGCATACATGGATATTAATATCTTATTATACACAGTATAACTCTGCTCACACATTAAACCAGAAGCCATTATCTGCACTTACTTGATAATACATTATTGACTCTACATACATCCCACATTCCTTACCTCAAACATATATACAGATGTTATTGAATATGTGCTTTTATGCACAACACAACATTTCTGATAATTGCCTGCTCCTCGTTTCACACAAAGTCACAATTATACCAGTTCTGAGAGAAAGAAAACTGACCGTAACTTTTTCATCCTTCCAAACCACAAATCTTTTCATCGTAACACCAGAGAATATTGCAAAGACCTCAACTTGTCGAAGAACAACACTGAATTCCTGGAAAACTTTATCGCCCTCATGGAAAAGGTGACGCCTGATTCCAAACAATGTAAGTACCGTAAGGGTATGTAATGGACACACAGAAGTTCATCTCCAGAAACACTCAGCATTCTTTGGGGTGAGAGAACTGAGGAAAACTGCAAAGGATCACACAGTGTGTTGCCCTCTTTGCAGTTAAGGTAGCTGGGCTTAGGGAAAAAGAAAAATTGTCCAATTAAATAAGACTTGTGATAGTTTTTGTCACTATGTGATTTTATTGAAATCACAGAAGTTTATTTTAGTGCAACAATTAATTAAAAGTAACCAACTCAAATATTTGTACAATTTCAATATTCTACTATTTAAATTTTTGTTTTGAACACTGTTAGTTTTAAGATATGAATATTTACTGCTGTTTTTGTAGTCAGTTTGTTGTATTTGAAATTGTCTGAAGACTCATTCGATAATGTAAAGTAAGCAAACAAGATACATATCAAAACAGAATGGAGCAAAGTCTCTGTTTGCTAAAACTGGGTTATATAGATAAGGAATGGGCAATTGTGGCTCTCCAGAGGTTGTTGGTCTGCTTTTCCCATGATCTCTTATCACTGACTCTGCCAGGTGGTGCTGTGGCAGTGGTAATTCAACATCTGGAGTGCTGCACGGCCCACCCCTCTTTCAGACCGAACATGCCCTCTGACTATGTCTGAAAAAAGACCGCAATGGCACACTATTGTTCCAGCCTATATCTAGATATTATTATAATAGTCCTTTTACCTGGATGTCATTAATGAAGGATATAAATCATGGATGGGGAGGGCTGATGCACTACAACTCCCATCATCCCTAACCAACACATATATTGTTGGAAATCCCTGGGAATTACGACCTGACAACGTCAGGAGGGATCCAACCCCTGTCTTTCCTCTGATACAAGTTTTTGTCAGGATTGATAGATGCGCAATGAAAATCTGCACATAGATGCTGAGAAGTAGGCCCCACTGAATTAAGCAGGGCTTACGTCCAGGAAAGTGGGTGTAGGATCACAATCTCCATCATTTGCTAATGTTTCTTACATTGCATGCTTATGATAGCAAGTACACAAGTTGCTCCCTTCTCAGTATGATATGAGTCAGATCATAAAACACAGGAGAAGTTCTGTTTTCTTATGCTAGCTTTAGGGGTACATTTCACCTCGTTTATGCAACCATGAATGACCACGAATGAAAGACGAAAGCCAAGAGAAAAAAATTATGCCTCAACAGCAGAAAAGAGTGGAATTGGCTTGTGAGGAAATTGGAGGTTTATTATATGGAGGTTAATTTGTCTATCTGCGAAGCAATTTAGCAGCGAAAATGAGGTGAGATGAAAGGCTGTTCCTTCCTCAGCATTTCTCTTTGTTTTGATTTAAGGCTGATCACATACTCAGTTTGGTTGTTAAAATTTTCTGAGAGGTAGTTTAGACGAGATGACCCAGAGATTCCCTTTCAATTCTGCTTAGCATAGAAATGTCATTTAGAGCAGTGGTCTCCAACCTTGGGCCTCCAGATGTTCTTGGACTTCAACTCTCAGAAATCCTGGCCAGCAGAGGTGGTGGTAAAGGCTTCTGGGAATTGTAGTACAAGAACATCTGGAGGCCCAGGGTTGGAGACCACTGATTTAGAGACTTTTCCTACTTTCTTTTGGTCTAATGCGTATATATAGTGGAAGCACTCTAAAATTCTGCCTGAGTGAATGGGCCAAATAGAAACAGGTTTGTTTTGCCCCCCTGCATGTTTTGGATTTCAGTACCAGAGGCCCCCAGAAAGCATGCGCAATAGTAAGAAATTCTGGGAGCTGAACTCCTGAACAGTAGAGAGCCAAAATTTGAGAAGCAGCGGCCTAGTCTCTAGTCCAGAGTAATGGCTCATAACTTTGCTTGGGTTACAGTCTCTTTCGAGAACCTGTTAAAAGCTGTGGGTCCCCATCTCCAGAAGAAGGCACGTTGAGCAGGGTGTTGGACTTGATGGCCTTGTAGGCCCCTTCCAACTTCACTTTTCTATAATGCTGTGATTCTAAATATATACACATAATCTTGTGTACTTTTTTCCCTCTGTTTGGTTCACAGACCACATTTCCCAAAACCCTTGTATATAATTCCGCCCGCCCCCCCTCTCTGGGGTTATTTTCTAAATCAGCATTGCAAATACAATGAACTTTGCAAATATCTGAAATTTTAAATCGAATAACAAAAATAATAATACAAATTCAGTCCAAATTGAGTGCCACAAAAAGGTCAATAACTTCCACAGACAAACAGTTCCACGAAATAAAAGTCTCTCAAAGTCCCTCTGAATCAAGTGTGTCAGGAATCAAATTTTAAAACAGCTCTACTTGCCAAAGAGAAGAAGCCAAAGCTCAAAAACGGTACTTCAGATTATTAAAATCTTCAAAATATTAAAATAAAAGTGCAATCAGACGATGCTTTATCCTGCCTTTGGGGCCACTTTGGGCATGGTGAGATTTGATCCATGTTCCAGTGAGGGCACAACATTCTGGCAGCTGCAAACAAGCCCAGCCCTTTGCCATCCTTACCATGCCTTTTTAGATCCTTGGCAGGACCTACTGTTTTAGAGCATAGTATGTGTTATTGTCAGGATTTAACCAAAGTGGATTCCCCATGTCCACAGTATGCCATCTATCAATAAGTAAAAAATAAAATAAATATCCAGCTTTCTCCTACTCCTCCATGGAGGAAGAGACAGAAGAAAAGAGGGAGGGGTATCTTTTGTTATTGTTCTCTTGAAAGTTCAGCACGATATCACTTGGTGACAAGCCCTAACATGCTGTTTACAATAAAAACAAATATGTTTCAGCTTTTTCCCACCAGGCTGTAGAGGGAGATCTTTTAAATTTCCCCTCCTCCTTAGAATGTAATTCTATGTCACTGGCATGCCACTTACCTTTAAAAAAAACACAGCTTTCTTTCACTCCCCTGCCAGCATGTGAAGGGAGATCTATTTTTTCCTATCCGCCCACCCCACTTAGAGTTCAGTGCTATGCCACTTAGTGACAAGCTGATTCACCAGCATGCCAATTACCTATAATTTTTTTAAAAGCAGCTTTTCCCTGCTTCTCATTGATGAGAAGACAAGAAAGGATCTGGAGGCTAAATAGGGTCAATTTGGAGGTGCTGTGTGGTTTCCTGTACTGAAGCCACCCGATTCTTGAAAGTGAGTGCAAGGACTGCTCCAAATGGCATTTCCTACCCTCCAATTGACCCTGTTTAGTATAATCCAGCCTGGGATAACTGGACTCTCTAGCCATACAAGGACAAGCCAGATACAGACTCAGACTAAAAGGACGTGCCCTTCCGTTGTCCGTCCTGTGTACATGAACTGACACACTTTTGCTTAAAACAATGTAATAAGGGCCTAATTGGTGTTCCAAAAAAATAAAAATTTATTTCCTGCCCATCTATCTTTGCTTTTCTAAATTGAAACTTGACCATCACAGCTCCTTCCTAAGGATGCCCTTGCTCACTGGGCTCAACAAAGCAGCCCATAGGAATTGCACGTTCATGGACCCCATAGAGGTCCACAGATCACAGTTTAAGAACCCACTGCTCTCAAATCTCATTGTCAGTGTTGCTCTCCACCAACACTACATCCGATGAGGACAGAAACACCCCACGCCTACTGGCTCCCTCTCTCATATGGTGGCAGCCACACAGAAGGATGAACTTGCCAAAGGCTGTTTGTCTAGCCAGGGCACTCTAAGGGGAAGGATCTAGGGTACAAGGAATGGAAGTGAGCATATAGGAGGCATACAGAATGTGAGGAGAATAAAACATGGAAGAAAGCAAGCCAGGATAGGTGGCAAGACACATTCCACAGTGTCACAATTAAAAATCAGGAGGAACCCTCTGGATGGAAATCTGGTAAACAAGTTGGGGGTGTTCATTGTGTCTTTCTTTTTCAAGGTGATAACTTCCTCCTTCACAACCTTATCCTGGACACAGGAATCACCCAACAGCTGGTGGAAAGAGTATGGAGGGACCAAGACTTAAACACGTACGTAAATAGAACTTCAGTTGAGTATCCTTTCAGAGACTTGGAATGTTTTGGAGCCCCAAAGAGAGGATCTTTCATGTGGAAGCAGAGTGAGTACTTTGTGCTTCAGGTTTAACACTGAAATCTTTTTATTTGCAATGAGAGCTTAGCACACCTGTGCAAATGGGCAAAATTAAATGGCCTGGAGATTCCAGTGGACAAAGCCTAAAGAGCCTCAATTGAAGCAGTTTAGAGATTATTGATGTACAACAAGGATGCAGAATGAGAGTAGAGATGACAGGAACTGCAATCCAACAATGTCGGGAGGGTTACCTATTTCCCATCTGTGAGCTACAGCAGTATGAATTGCCCATAGAACAGTCTACTATAAGAACAGGCCATTTCCAGGGAAGAGGTGGTACTGCATGTGAAATTCAGCTGGATGTGGCCAAAGCTACTGCTGAGGAAGGGCTTGCATTGGGAGAATCCTGCTTCTGCAGCAGGTAAGGTACTGCTGATTGGCAGCTGGCTGTCCATACTACATCTGTAATTATAAACACATGCACTAAAGTTGCAAAGATAAATTGGCAAGGGTTCCATGTTGTAACTTTTTATCTATGCCTCCTTTTAGGTACAGTCTCTTGGCCGTATTTGTTGCTACTGATGGTGGCATCACCCGTGTTTTCCCTAACAAGTAAGTGATTTTATTTTATTTTCTATGGGATCTTCAAGCACTATGCTGATTGCCTACTGAATGCCCAGAGAGAAAAAGGTGCTAGTTTCCATCTTCCGCCCTTTGTAAACCAGGTTGAAACAACCACTAAACTATTCATAATGTTTCATTCTGCCTTTATACAAATGCATGTGAGATATTGTCTTGAGAATGTGCAGATGGATATACTGAACCACTTTCCATATTCCTGCAATTGTTTATGTCTGATTGATGGGAAAAGATAGGTGCAATGATATTTTAATCACATACGTGATTGGATGGGCTCTTATGAAAGAACAATTGTTGTTGTTTAGTCGTTCAGTCATGTCCGACTCTTCGTGACCCCATGGACCAGAGCACGCCAGGCCCTCCTGTCTTCCACTGCCTCCCGGAGTTTGGTCAAATGAAAGAACAATACCCTTGTAATAAAATCATTCTGTCACTATCGTTTACTAAATGACCCGAGGGTGCATAATGCAATGGCTTTTTGTTGCAGGCCTGTAGAATCTGAGCCCTGTACTGTCTAATTTAGGGAGTCTATTCCTCCTGCACATTGAAGTGTGTTTTGCCATCAAGCAATAGAGTTGTGGGTAGTACATCATATCAAAATCTGCACAAGTAACTCATAATTTCTGGCCAGTACTCGGCCCAGAGTGTGCTTGCTTTCAGATTTACAACCCCAGAACAATCAACCTAGCTTTAAATTTAGAATTAACCTTCAAAATATATTTATATAGTCTAAGGGTTCATGTACATGGAGCAGGCAAGTGTGGCCTAAATAGTATTGCTTGGGGTCAGTTAGAGGTGTGATATCCCATTTGGTATGATCCTTGCATCTAAATGGCATACTGGAGTTCAAGCAACCAATGCTATTGGTCTGGCTCCTTCTGGTTTGAATTTCTGATTTTGTGAAGTGGGTTAATAAGTGAGCTACTTCAGCATATTGGCAAATTGAACACTTCCTCTGCTCCTCAGTGGAGGGGCAGGGGAAATGAAAAAAAATTTAGACTGTAGTAGACATTGGTCATTTTTGCATCACTTATGCAAAAATATTTTTCTTTGCCATGTCTGACTGATTACGCTCCAGCGATAATGTTATGTGATCACTGGGAAAAGGAGCAAATCAACCTGCTCCTGCAGCAGACCAAGCAGTGGGCTAAATGCCCCTTTAATTAATCCTTAAGTCTTTTGTATTTTCCAGTGTTTCATATATATTTTGTAAGCTAACAACATTGGTCTAAATGGAACGGGCTTAGCGATGTAAGTCCTGGGCTTATGTCATGTGTGTGTGTTGGGGGGGGGGGTTGATCCTTGGGAATCCCTAAGCAGAGATCCTTGCCTCTCTTTCCCATCTCTGCCCACGCCTGGAAAACCCTTGTCTGTCTACCACCAGTGAAATCATCACCAGGAGTAGATTAATACCTACAGAGCTTTTTCTGCCCTCACCTAACTCCTCTCAAACAGCCCTTCCAAGTAGCTTTACAAAGAAGCCGATAGAACAAATTAATTGCTTCCAGTAGAATGGATAGGCATGATTACTTTAGGTATATTTTACATTCCATAGGTCATTTGCTTATCAGTTCCCATTCCCTGATATCACATTGTATATTTAACAGACCACGGTTGGTGGGATATTATTATTATTGGACAGACTCATTTAATGCAGCCGGGCTTTCCAGGATTAAGAGAAAAGCGTGATGGCTTTGACACTCAAAGAAACAGTTTGCCAACATGTGCTACTTTTAATGGTTAGCTGACGTGACTTTACAGGTTTCTGAAAGTTGATAATTATCTTTAAAGTTTGGCAAGGGGACAGTCGGAAGCCTAACACAGCCCACCAGGAGCTTGATAAATGATCAGCATTACTGTATGTGAAGGGCTGCTAAAATAATACCTATTCGTCAAATGTTTCTCTCTATGCAAGATGGAAATTCTTCCATGACTACAGTAAATCATGGCTGGCCCAATACAGCTTGCTGTCTGAGGCAAAGGACGTGGTATCCCCTTCCATTCCATGTACAGACGTTAGACTGGCAGTTGAAGTTTTATTCAGCAACACAACAGCATCCTCCATTGTGATGAGATCAGCAGTGTGTGGAATGAGTTGGGTTGTGTGGAACAGGCTGTGTGGTGTACATTGAGATCTGTCCTCTAATGGAGGGTAGTGGACAGAGACCGTAGGAAAGACTGCCAATGCCATCTTCAACCAGAAGCAGTTGCTTCACTCTGTCTAATGGTAGGGCCCATCCTCAAAATTAACAGCTGGTGAGTTACAGTGCTTTCCCCTTGGTGACTTTGCACAGTCTGCAAATAAATAAATAAATAAGCAAGCAAGCAACTCGCTTTAATTTTTAAATGGCAAGATTCTACCCCTCATTAAATGATCGTAAGATATGGCTCTAATGCCTTCCCTCACATTCAGACATTTTGTTTGTTTACTATGGTTTTGTACCAAACTTATTTATGACGTGCTTAAGGATTTTTGCAACCTCCACAACTGATGGCGAGATTACCACTGCAATTGTTAGTTGTATGCAAGCCTTGACACTGTTCAGTTGGTTTTGGGATTGACATCTATGGAAAATGAAATGCTTGCCTGTGACAATATAGGGTTGATTTCATTTAAGAGCTGCAGAAGATTGGGAAAACACCTGTGACAATATATGGTTGATTTCATTTAAGAGCTGCAGAAGATTGGGAAGAAGACCTGGAGCCCTTCAATGCCAGCTTCTATCGGCGAAGCCTGGATAACAAAGGCTACATGTTCAAGCCACCTTGCCGGGAGCGTAAGTAGAAGGAGTCCATCTTCACCTTGGTTGTTCTTTCTTGGTGTAGAGCTCATAGCCAAAATCTCATTCTCTGCTGAAAGACAATATATTCTGATTATATACAGTATTCTGATTAAAGGCTTCTTACAAGGATAATCATAACAATATTTAATTTTTGTGTAACACTTTCTCATACCTCAGCCATCACATGGTTTGTAAGGAACTCTAACACATGGTAAGCAATCAATACATCATCTCTGCAGGTCAATAATTTAGGCTTTCCCAGTGACGTTTCCTGCATTAGAAATCTCCAGCTAGTAGAAAAGAAAAGGGCTCATGTAAGAGATTCCTTGCTTGCTGTATATAATGTAGTTGCTATTTGTATCATACATAGTAGGCATAGCTTAAGCAGGCAAATATTTTGACTTCATAGCTTATTAAAAAGTAGTCACAAAATAAAATGCCCCTGTCCATTATGTTGTCAAGGTGAATTGGGGTGTGGGTGGCAGTGGCCTGCAGATTGCCTTTCATGGAGCTACAGAGAGTGATAGCGCATTTTCATAGAGCCCAGAGAGGGGTTTTTTTTCCATGCTGTGCTGCCAAGTGCCATCTACCTCATTGGTCTTAACCTTTGTTACTCTGATGCTTTTGAACTGCAACTCCCAGAAACCCCAGCCAGCACAGTTGGTGGTGAAGGCTTCTGCAGTCCAAAACTCCTGAGTAACCCAAGGTTAAGAACCAGTGATCTACCTGACAAACAAACAGGGCGTCAGATATTCTTTTCTCCCTACAGCTAGCTACCGAGGTCTGGAGCTAGAAAACAGCACAGTCGGGATCCTTGTTAGCACACCTGTTGAGCTCAACTTCGGTGATAAGCACCTGAAACCAGCAGGTAAGGATATTTAGGTAATGGTGCAGGTCTTTGTCACAGAGTATCTCTCATCTAACTTTGGGTCTCCTGGTCTGCTTTAGCCATTGTAAGGCCCTGAAACCATTCATAAGCTGAAATCCTGTTTACATAGCTACGCTATGTAAGGCTTTTGATGGCGTCAGCCATGGCAATTTTTTTAAGAAATAAAAACATTCTGACCCTCCAGCTCCCATTAAATCCCTTTTGTCATTGAAAAGCTGTTGGGGCTGCAGGATAGGGGGAAGTATTTAATTTTTTTAAATTGTTGCTAGGGGTAAAGTTGTCCTCAAGCCCAAACATTTCTCTCCCTGCATATCATCCCATTCCATCCAGGAGAATCTACTGATTCTCCAGATAAGTTTTTCACAGGAAGTTGAATGACTGGGAAAAAAAAGGAAAGGAAAGAGAGGGACAGTTTCCTTCTGGAAGCTTCCACGGGCTTACAATATTCATAATCCAAGTTTGTATCTTTAGAGGAAAAGTGAAATATGTTTATTTAACCCAAAGTCTTTTTCTCCCCAGTGGTTGGAGTGAAACTTGACTTGGAGGCCTGGGCAGAGAAATTTAAAGTCCTTGCAAGTAACCGGACAGAAAGAGATCAGCTGGGAACACGAAGAGTAGGTGGCACAGAATAACCTTCTGGAAGAGCGGTTGGGAGCTTGTGTCTTGCAGATGATCTGGTTGAAGTGGAAGAGCAATCGGAGTTCCCACATATTGTTGTAGCATTTCATCAGTGCAGTCCTTATTGATTTGCAAGGTTTTCTCTGTTGATATCATGAGTCACTAAAAGTTATCTATATCTCATTGTTGCTTAAAGAGATATTTTATCCTGCTTCATAACAACACTTCTTTATTCTTCCAGGTCATTTTGTGGATTCCTACTTTGCCACACCTCTTGCAATAATAAGATAGCATTAAGATGTTAAAGATGAAGGCACTATTTCTGCATGGGGTATTTCACAGAATTATAAAGACTTTGTAACTCATAGTAAACTGCCTACACATCTCTGAATGCTGCAATACTCAAAAAACAGTCTCATTTGAGTTGTGCCTAGAAACAGAATGGAAACCAGTAAAAGTACTTCCACACCAGCATGTTCTATTATTTAGTCCCAATTAACAATCTAGCAGTGGCTACCATGTTTTGAACCAGATGAAGTTTCTGAATAGTCTTCAAAGGCTTCCCATGTGCAACTCATGGCAGCAATTTAACTTGGATATTGTCAAGGTGTAGCTAACTGTATTAAGCCTATGTGTATGTTCCTTACTTCTACACAATTCTTTTCTGCCCAAATTCCCTTCTGTCTGTAGAATTGGATGCTCTGTTACTCTGAAGATTATAGCTGTGATCCGGATTTAAATAAACCAATTCTGAGAAATCTGTAGAACTTTCCCAATTTAATTGCCTATCTTTTTTTTATTTCCAGTGTGACCCTTCCACTAGCTGCGAGATGGACTGTGAGGCTAATTACAAGGTAAAGACACACCTAGATAAATACCTCTTGAATTAGAAAATTATCATAAAAACAATTTAAGTTTAGAATTTAGAAACAGATCACTGGAATTGTCTGATAAGGGTGAAAAAGCAGAACATACCATTGTTATTTTTAAAAAATGTGATTGTTGGATGACATGGGGAAGAACTGTTTCCAAGCTATATGCAGATACTGCCATACTTGCATCATACACACACATACCCACAACCAAACATACACAGATTTTGAAGTCTCCATTTTCAGTGCCACTGTTCCTTTGCTCACCAATTACCACTTCCTGAACCTTTCACTCATGCAAGCTCCATAAACAGATTAATAGAACAGAGAAACATAACTGGTGGAGAGCAACAACATCATCCCTCACCATTGGCTATGCTGCTTATAGCTGATGGAAGTTGCAGTCCAGCAGCATCTGGAGGTCCACATGCTTCCTACCCTTGAAATCTGAGTGTCTAGCACATAATTTCTTCTGAGCTCCAACTGGCTTGAAGACTGAAAGGCATTCCCTTGCACAGAGCTGTCTTTCATTAGTCTAGCACACTATGATCTTACACTGCGATGGCCATAAGATTGCACAAATGTAAGAGTGGGTGATACCTTTTATTGGACCACTAAAAAAATCAAACAAATTGCAAACTGTCATTCCACTTCATCAGGCTAAGCACAATCCATTCATTGATAATGCAGAAAAACTGTAGAAAAGAGCCCCAAAATTGATGGTACATGTCTCTGAGATATGATGTTGTTCCTCTTGAGGCTTCAGTCTCAAGCATCCTGCGATGAATTGGAGCTTTCTGAGGTTTCAAGCAGAATTTTTTTTTCTAGTTTCCCTGCAACTAGAAAACCTAAGGTGGAAATGCAGAGATAAAACAGAACACTGGAATTGTCTGATAAGGGTGCAAAAGTAGAACATACCATTGTTATTTTAAAAAATGTGATTGTTAGATGACATGGGGGAGAACTGTTTCCAAGCTATATGCAGATACTGCCATACTTGCATCATACACACACATACCCACAACCAAACATACACAGATTTTGAAGTCTCCATTTTCAGTGCCACTGTTCCTTTGCTCACCAATTACCACTTCCTGAACCTTTCACTCATGCAAGCTCCATAAACAGATTAATAGAACAGGGAAACATAACTGGTGGACAGCAACAACATCATCCCTCACCATTGGCTATGCTGCTTATAGCTGATGGAAGTTGCAGTCCAGCAGCATCTGCAGGTCCACATGCTTCCTACCATTGAAATCTGAGTGTCTAGCACACAATTTTTTTCTGAGCTCCAACTGGCCTGAAGGCTGAAAGGCATTCACTTGCACACTATGATTTTACACTGTGATGGCCATAAGATTACACAAATGTAAGAGTGGGTGATATCTTTTATTGGACCACTAAAAAAAAATCAAACAAATTGCAAGCTGTCATTCCACTTCATCAGGCTAAGCACAACCCATTCATGGATAATGCAGAAAAACTGTAGAAAAGAGCCCCAAAATTGATGGTACATGTCTCTGAGATATGATGTTGTTCCTCTTGCGGCTTCAGTCTCAAGCATCCTGTGATGAACTGGAGCTTTCTGACATTTCAAGTAGAATTTTTTTCCTAGTTTCCCTAGAAAACCTAGAAAACCTAAGGTGGAAATGCAGAGATTGCACCTAAGATCTTATGGTTACAAATATTTTTTTCTGTGACTTCAGCCCATTGCTGTTGCCGGGATATTGCTCAGTAGAGAGATAATCTGACTAATACCTTGCAACATACCAGGTATGAGGAATATGTGGCTATCCAGATGTTGATGAACTGCGGCTGCCATTAGACTTAGGAAGTACAGTATAGCCAGCTGTAAGGGATGATGGAGAGATCTAGTCTGACAGTAACTAGAAGGTCAGAAATGACCCTTTCTTGTTATAAATTAACACTGGTCCATGGACTATGATTTAGATCTCACAGACAAGCAAACTTTAAGTTGTATTAATTCTTTCAGGACCTCCTTTGTGTGCTCATTGATGATGGGGGGTTTTTGGTGCTCTCCAACCAAGAAGATTACTGGTTCCAGGTAAGCTTCTCTTGTTGTATTGGAATCTAACGGTTTGAATTATTTCCCTGAAACAGAATTTCCTAGAAATTTCATAGTTATATGTAAGTGGATATGTTTCACAGTGACATATACCTGATATCAACTATTTTTATATCATGGATATTAAAAAAATAATTCTTACATGAAAAACCTAATCCATAAAATAAAGGACCTATTGCTAGAGTATTCATTCATACTATATCTTGCTCTATTGTTTTCATGTCTTGTAATCCACTCAGATAATTTTTCTTAATGGGTGAATTTGAATAAAATGGTGAAATACAGTAAGAAGTCACAACTAGAGTAGGACCATATAGTGCCTTCACACCATTGCAGTCTGGAACTTGCAGATGAGTTGACTCACCATATCCCATTGATTCAATGAGCCTACTCTAGTTGTGACTTCTTACTCGTTTTCAGCTAGTAAATAATTGAACTTATTCATTGCTGCTTAATTCACTTTGAGACAATTTTATTTGTTATTTGTAAAAATGGAGGACTATCACTTATATGTAAGGTAGTATGGGCCCAAATCCTATTGTGTTTGCCTATGCATGTAAGGGGAATATTTTTCAGTTTCCTGCATTGTCTTTCTTTTATTTCTTTCTATTTTTTTATTTAAAAACCATGCGGGGGAAAACACAACAATGGTATAGATCTTTCACCCTGAATGTATACTCTGATTTCTTGAACTTGTTATCCTTTATGTTGTAAGCTGCCTAGAGTGGTCAAAATGACTAGATAGGCGGGGTATAAATACAATCGATCGATCGATCGATCGATCGATCGATCGATCGATCGATCGATGTATCAGATTAGAACACCAGATCAAAGATTGACCTGGAGGTCAGTAGGAAATAAGTCTTGTCATTCTTAATTACATAATAAATAAAAGGAAACAATGCACAGGAAAAAATCATCTTGGCAGTATGGTTGTCTGAGTAATTTGAACTGGTATGTTAATTTTCCGATTACAGCAATATGCCATATTCTATTTCTCCATGCACATAAAAATTAAATTACAAGTTCCCTTCCAGTTTGCATCAATTTCCAAACACACCACCATACAGAAAAAGACAATCAATTGTTTATGAATTAGCTGTTTGTTATTGGCTGAAAATAAGAAGAACTAGATGTGGACTCCTTATAATTTTTTGCCCTTGATCATGCACCTGGTTGCCTTTCATGGAACCAGGTGCATGGTCAATTTTGCAATCAAGGGGAGACTGACTGTGATTTGCAACCTGGGAAACAGATCAGGTCAGTTGTGTGATTTCCCAACCTGGGAAACAGATCAGGTCAGTTGTGTGAGTGCCCTTACATAATCATTTAGGACAACAGGATTGTAACCATGGTTGCAAAATTGTAGCAATCCTGACACAGTTTCTTTGTGCTTTTTTTAAATCAGGTTGGCAAGTTCTTCAGTGAGGTAGATGCTCACCTGATGTCTGCTCTCTACAACAATTCATTCTACACACGGAAAGAATCATATGACTTTCAATCTGTGTGTGCTCCAGAAGCTCCAAGCAACACAGGGGGTGCACCACGTGGGGTGTATGTGGTGAGTTGCCTTGTAGAAACTTGGGGAACTGTGTGTACAAGTGCAAATTTGCCCCATGTCCACAGATGGCACTGCACGGCCCCAGTTGCAATTGTAGTTTGGAGAACATCAAGAAGCATTCACTGGTCTCTACACTGAGTTGGGCTGGATATGTTGGGTTTGAAAACAAAAACAAAAGGATGTTTAGCAGTATAAATCCAGAATTTGGTAGGGATGGAGATAGTTGCATGTTTTAGACACAACAATTTGTGATGGATTGAAGTGCGGAGATGAGAATTGTTGTTTGAGGTGTAGGAATCTGGGAATTCCACAGAGGTTTTACAGGTTGGTTCCTGGGTAACCAAAAAATGGATTTGATCTCAAATGTGACGATATTACTGTAAGAACATGGAACATTTTCCATTTTCCAACCATTGATGGTGGTATTGGTGTCAAGTAATTTCTACCTAGTAGATATACGGTGCGGTCAGAACTGGCCCTGCCTAGTAATATCTTGACTAAGAAATTTGGCAGCGATAGGTGTGCAACCTCAATAGTGCCTGCTTAACTATTTAATAACAGGATTTCCCCATGTTTTTCATGCCGTGCATTTTTTTTGTACAAAGAGTCGAGTTTTAAAATTGGCATTAATTACTGTTTGTTCCTATAAAATCTTTACATTTCTGCTCTCAGTTTCATTGTGGGCACCCAGGCCACCTGGAAGTGACACAAAGGATGGTTTGTGCTTTGTAACTTGTTACTTAAGAAATATTGCAAACATCGGACCTTCGCCTAGTAAAGTAACATCAGTGTCAGGTCAAAATTTGTTATAGGAAATGTGGTGTCTTACCACAATATTTGTACCTCTTCATTTTGTCATTATTAACTTTGGATGTTCTTGCAATGCCTATGAGGATGGGACCTGGATTTACCTGTGGCCCCGTGTTGAGGACGGTGCGGCAGCCCAGGTCCAGCGGCTTGATGCCCCCTTGTCATGGCAGCAGGGTGGAAAATGGCACCCGCCACGTGGTGCCACAGATAAGAGGGCATTGGGAAGACCCACGCCAAGCTCAAAGGGAAAGACCTGACCCTGGATTGGCTGGTGCAGTGGTTGTGGGAAGGGCCTTCTGCTGGTGGATCTGAGGGGAGTGGTTTCCACTCCAGTTGGGCACCACAGAATAAAAGGAGGTGAGCCAAGGCCAGAGCCTCAGTCTTGCCGACACGTCGTCTTATCATGCTTATGCTTAGGACTGGATTGCTTTAACCCATTAATTCCCATTTCCATCATGAATCAGTGGATCCCCATGTACAATTATTTGAAAGTCTTTTGTGCTCACAGGTGACTGTGTCACATTTAAGTATCAACAGTTCTCTTCATAATCATATTTCCTTATCCCTTCATATCCAGCCTACGATGGCAGACTTCCTGAATCTGGCCTGGTGGACCTCTGCAGCGGCATGGTAAGCCCTCCTTTTGCTTTCCATCATGAATCAGTGGATCCCCACGCACAATTGTTTGAAAGTCTTTTGTGCTCACAGGTGACTGTGTCACATTTAAGTATCAACAGTTCTCTTCATAATCATATTTCCTTATCCCTTCATATCCAGCCTACGATGGCAGACTTCCTGAATCTGGCCTGGTGGACCTCTGCAGCGGCATGGTAAGCCCTCCTTTTGCTAATTACTAGATGCACTGAAGAAATCTGTCACAAAACAGAAACATCATAAATTGTACCACTCTATGAAGAGTGGATAACTCTGTGAGTTAGGTATCTGGCTTCAGAGTCAGAGGTTGGGAGTTCAATTCCGTACTGTGCATTCTAGAAGAGCCAGCCTATATGGCCTTGGGCTAGCTGCACAGTATCAGGATGGCCCCAGAAGGATGGAATGGTTGTTCATTTCCCTCCTGTGCATTCTAGAAGAGCCAGCCTGTATGGCCTTGGGCTAGCTGCACAGTATCAGGATGGCCCCAGAAAGACGGAATGGTAAACCAGAGTACTCCCTACCTAGAAAATCCTGAACAGGGTTGCCATAAGTCAGAAGTGACTTGATGGCGTGCAGTTATTATTAGAAAACTGATAGCTGTACAGAGGACTGGCTGAGTTGTTGGGTGGCCCTCCCTTTTGGGGAAAATGGTTTCACCTAGCCCATAGATGGTCAAGTTGTTTGCAAAGTCAGTATTTCAAAAAGTTTAGTAGAGAATCGGGTGTTCCTTTCCACTTTCTAGCCTCTGGACTTGAAGATGTAAAATATGCATATCTCTTTAGTTCCTTAAGATAAGAATTTTTTTTTTGTTTGATTATTTTCTTCTACAACCTCTTTCTACCCTCTGGACTTGAAGATGTAAAATATGTATCTTCATATCTCTTTAGTTCCTTAAGATAAGAATTTTTTTTGTTTGATTATTTTCTTCTACAACCAGCTCACAGCTCTTCCATTTCCTCCCACAAGGTCTCTGTTTCAGCAATTTTTGTACGGACTGACCTACAGCAGCTGGTTTCAAACAGGTAACCTGCTTCATCACATTAAGTTCCAAAGAGATGAGATGGAAGGCAGGAGTTAACTATATTAGTTGGGTTTTATTTTGAAAAAGATAATGATGCTGAACTAGGTAGGATTACTACGGTAGCTGTTCCTCTTTTACCAATGAATTGGATTCATTGCTGAAGTTTTTCAGAAACAGTGCAGAATATATAATTTTTTTTGGACTTATATACCGCCCCATAGCGCTAAAAGCACTCTCTGGGCGGTTTACAATTTAATTATACAGGCTACACATCCGTTCAAGGACTTTCCTTCAGCATTTTTAAATATGGAATAGGGACTATTTCAGGATACCTCTTCACAATTTTTTCTCATGGCACTAGCAACAACCTTTTGCTACCTGAGAGCAAAAACAGATGTTACAGATAATCTGTCATCATGAAATTTATCCCTTCAGGTAATTTGCAAATTAGCTTGCTTCATTATGTTAATTGTGTTATCTTCTGGCCTTTAAGAATTGCAATTTTTTCTTAGCATAAAGAGGAAGAAACTGATTTGAGCACAACTACAGAAGTTTTTCTGGTAGTGGTGCCAAATTCAAATACATTTGACAACCAAATTCCCTACCGTAAAGATGTCAGAAACCGCATTCATTCATAAATAAAACCCTAATTTAAATAAAATATATGCTAAGATACAAGATAGCAATAGACCAAGAAATCAACCATAAAATTGCATGTCCTTCTGCCCATGATCGATTCCATCTGTATTCAACACAGAACTGTCACTTCCACTTCAGTTGCATTGCAGTCCTAAACACATTTACTTAGGAGTCGGCTCCATTGAACATAATGCCATTGTTTAAACTGATGCTAACAGAAATTATTAGAGACTGCAAATCATCCCTGTATCTAAGTGATCTTTCTGAACATTTATAGCATGAATGCATGTTTAAATTTAAATGTTTAAATTTGCATCTCCTGTGGCATGCAACAGCAGCCAGGAGTGAGTTGCTTCCTTACTTTTGTAAGAAGATCCAGTTCCTAATATGCCTCTTTTGGGAGAAAGAGATAATTTAATTGAATATTAAATTCAGGTACCGTCTGTGGAGTATCTAGTAAGGGTGGTTAAGGTGGTTAGTGGCCCCTAAAGGCTATTATTAGGGTCCAGAGTCTTATGCTGGACATGAGTGTGCCCTTCTGCTTCATTTTATTTCCGTTTTGCTTCTTCATGACAGGTTTTGCAAATTTTCCATGTATACATGTTTCCTTCTCTAACAAGTTCTGGCATGGCTGTTTGTGAAGCACATCTGAATTAGCACAGTTAAATCTCTGTACCCAAATACACCATGACAGACCTCATGCCCAAACGGGGGAAATCTAGGGTTGGCAGATAATGAAGGAACTGAATTGAGTTTCTAATGTGAAAAATTAGCCTGTGGAAGCAAAATGTCTATGCTGAACAAAATCAGTTGCTCAGGTCAATCATTAGGAAAAAAAATTGTACCTCACGAATGACCTGTAACATTGAAGAGCAAGGCAGGTAAAATAAAAACCAGCTTGATGGGCAGTGCAGAACATCCATGTCGATCAATTATTGCAGTGCTTTCAGCTCTTCAGAAAGGTATAAATGTATGCTTAGTTGTGGAAACATGAACGGTCCCCTAAAAAAGAAAGGATACGAGGATACATGAGAGGGCCCAGCACATCGTGTTTCTTACTTTCTTGTACTGGTTACTTGATAGCACCTTGCATAAAAATACACTGACAAATAGTATGAGATTTGCTACAGAAGCAGAATGGATGAATTCAAACTTTTGGTAACCAAACACACGACACCAGGACCAATGGGAAGCAGCCCTGCCTTTTTTGCTTCGGGTTCAAAATTCTTTCCTTGCCATCGGAGGCTTCCAGTTTTTTTAAAGCCAGAGTGATTTGAACAGTGTTCTCTCTTGTGATGAGTTGTTTTGTTTTCCAAAAGGATGGGGCGCGTGACTGTGGGTGGTACTCTGGTGACATACTAAGCTACGTGTGATGTTTTATACAACAGTGCCATCCACCTCCACAATGTTTCTGCCTTGTTGCCCCAAAGTATTTAAAAAAACAAACTACTGAATTTAAGAGCAGACCACCTTATCTGTGCATTATTATATTAATTTAGAGCTAAGTCACCCCTGCACGGACAAAAATTAAAAGATCAAGAACGATACAGTTGTTTTTACTTACACACGACCCCATAGTGCTAAAGCCTTTTCTTGGCACCCCAATCTAATTTCTGACCTATCTTATCCTCCATTTCATGTGCTGTGATCCCTAACAGAAGACGTCACAGCGGATAGCATGGAGCCCAAGGAGACCAGCTGCATCATGAAGCAAACTCAGTACTACTTCAGTACAGTTGACTCTATTTACAATGCTATGATTGACTGTGGAAATTGTTCCAGGTGAGTGTAAAGATGTCCCTGCTATAAAGATGTTCTTATTTAAATGTTTTCCTTAACTGAGTGAAAGAATGGCCACTAGCAGAGATGTGGAATCCAACAAAGCAGAATATTACTATATTTAAAGTTTTCCATTAGTCATTACTTTCTCAAAGTAAGTCAATTATGCTGCTTGCAACATTTAATTTTTTTTTTGAAAAATGTAAAAATGCAAATATCACCCAAAATGGTCCCCCCTGAAGCAACATTTTAGATATAACAAGCATTTCTCATTACATTAAAGAAGAGATTGCCAATGTTACTACTCATCATTTGCTTTCCCCCCAAAATTATACAGTGGTACCTCGACTTATGAACTTAATCCGTATTGGAGCAGTGTCCATAACTCTAAACGTTCATAAGTCGCAGCACCATTTCCCATAGGAATGCATTGAAAACTGATTAATCCGTTCCAGCCGAAGGAAAAAATACCCCAAAAATAAAACAATAAAACACTGCAAGCCCCATAGGAACATGCTGGGGCTGCAAAAAAACAAAACAAAACAAAACAAAACCCAGGAGAGAAAGGGAGCCTCAAAGGCTAACCTACATTTAGAAAGTTGAATTGCCCACCTTTTTTCCCTGCCTGTTTCTGTTCGTAAGTGGAAGCTCCGTTCATAAGTCGAAGCAACGTTTTGTGGACGGAGCTGTTCGTAAGTCGAAATGTTCGTAAGTAGGGACATTAGTAAGTCGAAGTACCACTGTATGTCATTGTAACACATGCCTTACAAATTATGTTCTGTTTTAAAGGAGAATGCCGCATATACAGTATGTGCCACTCATATCCAATCCAGTCTGCATGTATTTCATCCTTGAGCATCTGTATTTTGGGCATCTAATCTTTGCTGTGTAAATTGAGTCTCAGCAATCTGGAGCGAAATCCAAAGTGGCAGGATAGCAGCTGTTCACCCTCTCCCTTCCTTTTCCTTTCCTCCCTAGATTGTTTCATGCGCAAAGACTTGCAAGCACCAATCTTCTGTTTGTTGTTGCTGAGAAGCCAATATGCAGCCAGTGTGAATCCACCAAACTTCTCCAAGCAGAGATAAAAGGTATCGTTTGCTGCTCAGTGCTGTTGCAAGATTTCAACAATAAAAATCATTATGAAATTAGACACACCATGCCCCTTGCCCCACCTGGATGAATATGATGACTGATTTTTCACCCACTTATATTTTTCTGTGTTACTTCTATCCAGGTAAATTTCTTGAGATGACTCAAAAACTCAGATTGTGTTCACATGAATAGAATCCCCCAAGGAAATTGGGTGCCGATATCTGTTGCTTTATGGAGTTGTGGAAGGGCAACCATGTTAAGTGCGCCTTTTACACTTCATTAGAAGGCTTCACTCTGTGTGACCAGTTTTGTAGCTCTTGCAAACTTGATCAGGCAACTGGTTGCTGGTCAGGTATGGGTCAGGGGGCCTGTTGGAGCAGGGAAATATTTACACCATAGCCTTACATACCTAATGGCCAGGGAGAATACCTACCTATTAACAGCACTCTATAGCATAGATGTGGAAATGGAATTGTTAACCATGCATAGAGATGAGGTCTTCCAGTTTATCTCAAGGAAGGAGGTGCTGTGAAGAATGTTGGATTGGCCTTCATGCATTAAGGAGGCATTCACTTGCTACAGAGAGCTTGGAAGCCAAGAGAAAACACCAAGGATAACTAGAGGAGCAGTGGCCTCCATAATGCCTCTCTGCACTGGGATGCTCATTTTATATTACCCATAGTTTAGCCATATAAAAGGTCACTTAACATATACTGACAGTAGAGGATGTTCGGAAGATAACACTTGTTTTTTAATTCCATGAGTGTCTGGTACCAAAATCACAATATTTTGATCTGCATTCTCTTATATAATACTAATAGCAAAGTCAGTTGTCTACGTGCTGTCCTTAGGTAGCCAAAGCTGACAAAATTCAGAGACAAAAGATGGGTATCAACAAATGTGAAGGAACCCTAAGATTTCCAGAAATACATCTGTTTATTCTTTTTTTATAAAAGCTTGGAAAAAAATTATCCTAAAAGTGGGAGTAACAGTCGAGTTGAGTAAGGTAAAGGTAAAGGTTCCCCTTGACAATTTTTGTCCAGTCGTGTTTGACTCTAGGGGGCGGTGCTCATCCCCGTTCCCAAGCCATAGAGCCAGCGTTTTGTCCATAGACAATCTTCCGTGGTCACATGGCCAGTGTGACTTAGACACGGAACGCTGTTACCTTCCCACCGAGGTGGTCCCTATTTATCTACTCGCATTTGCATGCTTTCGAACCGCTAGGTTGGTGGGAGCTGGGACAAGCGATGGGAGCTCACTCCGTCACGTGGATTCGATCTTACGACTGCTTGGTCTTCTGACCCTGCAGCACAGGCTTCTGCGGTTTAGCCCACAGTGCCACCACGCCCCTTAGTTGAGTACTAATCATCTTTAACAACCACAAAATGGCTGATGGTTGAAACAGGAGGAACAGGCAGGAAGACAGCATAGAATATAAGATGGGGTGGCAGCCCAAAACGCTGAACATGACCAGATCTACTGTAGGTGTAAGTTATTAACCCTCACAGCCACAGCAGGTGAGCCGTGCCATTTAGAGTGCTAGGAGGCATTTGAACATGATCTATTTGTACAGTATTGTGCTTCTCAACCAGTGATTTTTCTAGCATTGTTTTTTCCTCATGATTTTTGTCTTCTGCTCTTTTTTTCCTGGCGATGCAAAGCTCCACCGGGAGATCGTAATCAGTGTGAGCTAGTAGAGAAGCCGCGGTATCGAAAGGGTCCCCACATTTGTTTTGACTACAATGCAACAGTAAGTAGTAAAAAAAAAATACTGCCCTATGGATGAAACAAGTGGAGCAATACACTTGAAATGCCTGTATGCTTAGAATGGGCACAGACTATCCAAGGACTTGAGAAACCAGGGACTGAAACAGCAGACTGAACTTGGGAAGTTACTTTTTACCTTTCATTTCCTAGCCAGTATCCTGGCCAGAGGTTCTGGAGTTCTAGTCAAATCAGTGCTTTTTCCAAGCCCCAATCTGAAGGCTTCTCTCTCAGATCAATGTATTGCTTTGGTGGGTTCAATTAGCTGAAATGGGGCATTGTACAGGAGTCCCTTAGTTGAGCTAGCTACCCACGGTCACATTTTTGGGGCATGGTTCTGTTCTTTATAGCATTTGTCTCTGTACATTAAGAAATTTTGCCAGGCGTGAGGAGGAGGAGGAGGATAAAAATCTCTTTGAGGTACTGAGCTTTAAATTTGACATTCTATAGGGACAAACACTGGGATGGAACCAGAGCTTGGAATATTAGGTCTGGAAATTAATTTCTGATGTTAAACATTAGCCATAAGGAGAATAATGCATTCCTTTACTGTTTAACCCTAAGAGTATGTAATTCATTGAATTAGTGTTAATTCATTTATTATATTGTTAGTTTTTAAATAGTGAGGTTTACAGAGAGATTATAAATTGTCACCATTGACTCCCCAGTAACACATTTGTTATGGGTTTCTTAAAAAATGTTCTTTGGATCACTGTTGCTTCCCCCCCCCCCCGAATATGGACTACAAATGCCATAATATGATCGTTAGGAAGGAATGGTGGTCCCAACATATGTGAAAAGTATTAAATTGGGGAGGATGATGTGTCCCCTACCAGGTTCTCCTTTCTCCATCCATGGGGGGGACACCAACTGGCTCTTTTCTAGTGCAATACCTTAGACGTTCTGCCTGAAAGTGTTGCCTCAACTAAAGTCTACTCATCCCACCACCACCACCTGGGACTTAATGTCCTACATTAAGATTGTACAGCTCCAGCAACTCTGTCCATTGGCTGGGCTTGCTAGGGCTTCTCAGAGATGCAGTCTGGAAAAAATTAAAGTGCCAAGACTTGAGTCACTTTTGTAGAGCAAGTTCTCATGGTGGGGTGTCTGGGTGCCTGCTCTCTGGGGAGGAAAATAAGGGTGGACTCCAAGACATAGCATACCTATTGTAACAGTGTTATTTTGTTAAGCATTGTGATGCCTTTCCTACGCTGGACAATAATACATTTAATGTTAGTACGCTTTTCAAGTTCTGAATGGGATGCTAGAGAGTCATTCCGTCCAAGAGGTGGTGCACTCTTTGCCAACTGTTCCCAGGAGACGCTGGTCTCCACGTCAGTTCCTTTAGTCAGTCCCCTAGCTTTTAAATAGGGGGTTCTTTCCATCTGCACCGCTGAAGAAACAGTGAAAATACAGTAAGTTGATTCCAGATTCAGAGACTAAATACTAAGGGGTTACAAGATAGGCCCCAAGGTGGTGCAGTAGGTAGATTCAGCATAATCATGAGAAGATTGTGATTCATGATGCACAGCATTTTCCTTTCAGGAGGAAAACTAAAATGAAATGAGGATAGTGAATGTAAGAGAAAATGCACATGATGGCTGGTCATATGTCGCAGTGCCAGATCCCACAGCAAGGTCTCTCCCTTTTGTTTCCACAGGAAGATACTTCAGATTGTGGCAGAGGAGCCTCCTTTAGACCTTCCTTGCGTGTCTTGTTATCTCTGCAGCTGCTGTTCCTCTATTTGACTGCCAGTCACCATTCACTGCTCTTGACGTCTTGCCTTTGAAACATCCATTTAGTCTTGCCCGTCCATTTTTGTTTTCTGCACCATCTCCATCCCCTCCAGACTTGCCAGAGGGAGGGGCAGATGCCTCGTCCCATCAACTCTGGTTACATCTTGGCACCCCCTCATGAGGACTGTTTCTCTCCTCCCTCGGACGTCCAGAAGCTCTGTCCATTGTTCCTCGTTTCCCCACCATCTTCTCCTCGCACTTCCAGGGTCTCTGCACAGCAGGTTGTGCTAACACAGAGCTCTGAGCAAGACTTGGGGAAGCACAAACCACCATGACCCTCTTCACACAGTCAACATCCTTGAGCTTTGATTCATTGCTGCTCCCCCTTCCACCCACTGAGCTATTGGCCAAATACAAAAGAACAGTGGCCTCATACCTCCCCACACCTACCTTGCATCCGTGGAATTCTGGGAGACCTTTGTCAGTTTTCTTCATTTTATTGTCTTTAAATAGTATTTAAGCAACAGTGCTGACAAATTACTATTGTGTTTGAACAATTTACCTTCATATCCCGATCATGCAAACAGCAGCAGCAACAAAAATTAGATGCAGTAAAAAAAAAAAAGATATATTCTTGCCAAATTGGTTCTGTAGTTTAGTTAACTTCCAGCCAATTCCGATGGCTTATCAAATTCAAAATAACCCTAGGATGTCACTGCAGCATCTCCATTCCACCCAGTTCACTCTGTGCTTTCCAGGGTCATTGTTGCTTAGTTCCTCATTAGTTAGATGCCATTTCAAATCAATTTTTAAACTACTATTATTATTTTTAGCCTGAAAGTTTTAATCTAGATCTTTCTACATCTAATTCTCAAGCATTTTGCCCAACAAATTATAGTATGAATTGTCAGCAACAAAGAGACACAAAGAAAAACAAAGGACTTAACTTGAACATTATGGTCAGTATTATTTATTTAAACCAATTAATTCCATGCTAAAAGATGTTAAAAGAGGAAGCAGGAAGAAGTGTGCAGAGCTTTACATGCACACCATTCTGCACATGGTTTCAGGATACGGTGGCTTTGGCAAAACAAATAGCAAGATACTGTAATTCTAGTGAGAGAACACACATGATCCAAACGCAGTAGTTCCTGACTCCAATCTTTTCCTTGCCTTTCCATTCCTTATTGGGCTCAGACCTCTTTGAGTCAATCAGGAAATTAATATACATATTATCTTAGAGCTGCAGAGCTGGAAGGGACCCTATAGATCATCGTTGCCCAGCCCTTTGCAAGGAATGCCAGTGGGGAATTGAACTCCCAACCTCTGGATCTGCAGTCAGAAACCTAAACCACTGAACTATCCAGCAGTTCTAGACCATCGATTTTCCACCCCCAAATCAGTTTCTGCAGTATCTTGCCCTCAAAGTAAGCCAATGGTAGAACTGGTCGAGGTAAAGACAAAAATGCCCTCCTCTCTAGTTCATGCTGTCCCATTCCTACTCAAGGAGATTGTCCACCGCTCTGGCAACCGCAATCTGTGTCAAACTAAACTAAGAAGGTGACAGCCAAAGGTTTTCTTCCTGGGCTTTTCGGTAGAAGCTTAATTGCTCCTCACAGTTCACCCTGCACTGAGCCTCTAAAAGGACACGTTTTGCAGAGAGCGAATTCCCATCAACAACCACACACTTTAGCAAGGTTCAGGCGGAAGTGTTCTACACCACAAGGAAAGCGCTCAGAACACCTCTCACTCAGCTCAAACCCACAGAACACTTCAGGTGGCTGTGTAGGCACACATTCCATGGATGAAACTGTTATTCATGACAGCAACCGCACAATCCGTTCCCAATTCTGAAGTGAGTTTAAACTTAGAACTTGTCGACCAGTCTTTTCCAAAGCTGCCTGTTTAGGACAAGTTGCCAGCCTTTGTGCCTCCTGCTTGTGCCCGTTCCGTAATAAACATACTTTACCATTGAACACAAACTGAGAGGTGTAGTGCCCTCGCCAGGCCACTCCAGAATTTCTTTCTCCTCTGACCAATGTTCCCCCCCCCCCTCGGTACATGGCCTCTGCACTTGGAAGTGGCCAGCAAAATGAGAAGGATCCTCTCGTGCTTCTGCTTCATGCCAGAGCCACCGCCTGACATTTACTTCGGGGCAATGGGAAGAGCTGTATTATACAGCACAGTATGACACAACTTTCATCAGTGGGAGCAGTTAAATGCTAAAACGGTAACCGTGACGGTCTTTCCCTGCAGCACAGGGCGTTTGGATGGAGCATGATGAAATGGTGTGCCCAATGATGCACTTTATTTTGACCTCACGTGCTCATTTCTTCAACCAAAAGCCTTTACCAGTGAATTCTTCTAAAGCCTGAACACAACCTGCTGTGTTATGTGTCTCATGTGCTTTTATTAGTAACACTGATGTGTGTGTTTCCAAGCAAAGAAAGCAGCCTTGTTTGATTAACTCCTTCTCAATGTGTTTGGAAGGGACCTATCTGTGATCCTGGTTTTGTCCTTTAGTACGACATCAACATTTTGGGGTCTAAATGAAGTGTACCAGACTCCTGTAGTGCCGTTACAAATCATATGATGTGGTCTCTGCCAGGACAGATGAATATCTACAAATGTGGCAAGTACAGAGTGAGAGGCTCATACACTTAAAAAGAATTCAATGCGCACTATCCTCAGCAAAGCTGAGATCAACGTTACCTGAAGGAGGATTGTGAAATTGGGAGTACTTGTTTGATTTCAATCATGAAATTGTCTAAGAAATAAGGTGCAAACACGTGCAACTAAGAACTGAGAATTGTGCCGGGGGGGGAGGGATTTGAGAGATCTAGAAGTAGACCTTTGGTACACATTTTGTGCAGTGTGCGTGCTTTCTTTCCAGTAATTTTCATCCTTAAGAAGCAGAAGAAATGAGTTTCTCCATCTTCCAGAATACTGCAGCTTCCCACTTTCTCTACTGACGGCTGTCCTTCCCGTACTGCCAACTGGATAATGTACATTCCAAATCATCTCTCCAAAAAGATCATGCCTTCCAAATTTCTCACTATTATTTTTTCCCAGCTAGCTGATAGAATGAAACACTGTTGATGCTAAGCGTTAAGAATTCTGCTTCAACAGTCTTGTATAAGTTTCTGGAGACATGATCTGGGAAGTTATTAAGAGCTCTACCTGAAGTACAGTAGCTAGAGTACTACTATTCCTTGAATATACTCCCAATAATAATCAGTTGCACCGGCAGTGGACGTGCTCCCAGTATCTCATTAGACTCTTCTGAGCAAAGACTGCCAAATCGTGCCAAACTGTGTGATTGTTTTGTGATGTGGGCAACTGTCTGTAATGTGCTTGGCTGAAATAATCCCCATTCCATTCCACTTTAGTCTGACTTAAACCATAGTCTGCCCTTATGCCATTCAACCTGTGATTCTGTATGGCTAGTGCTCTGGAATCACTGTATATTCATAGGGAATGCCTCATAAGTAGCAGATATGGAAGAAAGGAGAATGCTGGAACCCAAAGCATTGTGAACATTATTGCATGTTGAGCAGTGCCAGCAGATGGACAAGGGCCTGCAGTTTGCCATCTGTGCAAAGAGAGTCGGCTTTATAATAAAGCATTTTCTGGCTTTTGAATGTCTTACCATGCTGGCAGTATGGATACCTGCTTTCTTCTTGAGCAGCCACAAGGCTCTGGCTAGTATCCTAGTTGGGGGCATAATAGAAATCATATAAGATTTCTCTGGCTCCGGCAGAGCCCTTGTTGCATGACTAACCATGTTAAGTCAGCTGCGCAACTAGTCTTACAATTTGTCCAATGCTAAGCATGCAAAAGGCAGCCTGCCAAAGCACGGGGGTTGCTGTGATCAGTGATTACCTAACTCAACAGGATACCAGTAGCCATTGTTATGCACTCAAGATGTAATTTAATGTCTATGGGCTCAAACTGAAGGCATTTTTGGTTAGTGTTTTCACTTTGGCTGGTGCCATGATAGAAGTTTTCTATCTTGTGTATACCTTAACAAAGCCTATTCATAAATCTTCCTGTGAGGAAAATTCAGTCTTTTGTATGTATTAAGAGCTGCACTAGTTGCCAAGGAAGAGTTTTAAAAGGACAAAAGGGAAGGGGGGAAGGGGAAGCAGGATGCTTAGCATCCATAATCAGAGTAGATATACCTGTAGTTCAGAATTCCCCCATCTCTTCTACACCCTACTTTTCAAAACAAGACATACATGCCACTGATCGAAGCAGATTCAGTATTGCCTGTGCCCCCTCTTCAGATGGGGTCCACATTTTCTAAAATTAATTAATGTCTTTTAACAGTTTGAATAGTTAAAAACACATAATCATACACACACATTTTTTTAATGAAGCAGAATCATCATCATCTGTAATGTTGGGAACCTGCATGAAGGGACAGATTAGTTAACAGAGTCAGTGATTCCAATCAATCAAGGCTATGAAAAGTCGGCACGGTTACGACTTGGTGGCAAAGCTGTGGGACAGAGAGGGATTATGGGAACCTCTAATGGATGAATTGCTCGAGATCAGTTGTAGCTCCTATGAATCAGCAGTTGTATAGCATTACAAGACACAAATGGGACAGGCTCCCAGTGACTTGCTGTTTCTCTGAAGCTTCTTGCCTATAATGTTGGCCCTGTTCATTTATAGGTTAGACATTTCATTGAATTGTAGCTCATAGCTATGGCATTTGTTCAACTGAAGTCGCAGTGCGTTAAACCTCCAGAACACCCTGCAGAGATTATGAAGTTGAATTACCTGGTAACCTGTCTCACTTATTTCTGTATCTCCATACGGTGTATCTATCCCACTGGGAGCTCTATACTTTCTGGCACCTGGTTTTGGTCTCCTTTTCAAAGGGGAGTGAAGACTGAACAGAGAGCACGAGAGGGGATGGAAGGCTGCCATGCGGCCCCACATCAGAAAAAGAATACAGGTTGCAACATAGCACATTTCCCACTTTTAGCCCTGCACTTATCATGATCAGACCTAGTCACTGAAAGGGGCTCAACCTCTTGATTAACCAACCAGGCAGGATATCAGGCAGTCCCAGATAGAATGGAAATGCTGCCCTGCATCCCACTCTTTTAATTGATCTCTACAGAAGGCAAGTTTATGTACCACTGGTTGGAGGGGGAGGCAAAAAGGGCTCCCTTATCCATTAACTCACCCCTTAACTCAATAGTATCCTTTCCTCACATTTTATTGGATGCAAGAAACAAAAGTCCTCACTAGGTTGCAGAGCCATAAAAAGGGCAAGTGTATGGATGGTGAACTATTCCTAAAATGAGAACATGTTCCGAATTCAATCCTGTTGGATGTTTTTTTTTAAGTGCACTTTGTTTTATTTTCTGTTGGAAGATTGGTGTTTGTGCATGAGCTGATGGCATTGCTGTATGTGCAGGTCTAAGATTTGAGTGATTCCTTGATTATTCCTATGCCAAAATCTTCCAGTGGACATATAAACAGGGGGATATGGCTGATCTAGGCAACCACATCTTTCCAAATTGCTGTTCAGAATGTAAATGTGGGCTGGAAAATCCACTCCCCACAAACCTTGTACTATCTGTAGAATATCTTAGATATTCAATAGTCGGTTATGTCCCCAACAGTCAGAATCATCTTATATTAACATCATGTCTTCCTCCAGGCTTTATTTCAGCTTTGCCCACTGAAGGTAGATGCAGATGGTATTGAGAAATATAGAAAAGCAGGTGGGGTGGGACAGGTCAAAGGCTGTCTAACCTAGCTGCTTAGGTTTTTTCCCTCCAGCCTCAGAAGAGAGTAGCCTCATAATGGAACTACATCCCTCAGCTTTTAAAGTGGTAAAACAGTATCCAGAAAGGAAAGGAAATATCAAATAAGAGAGATTTAAAGAAATATTGAATGATTATTTAGAATTGGCAAAGAACAAATTGCATAAATAGTAGGGGGAAATTTGGGCATCATGCTGATTTCCTGAATTCTGTAGTGCTGTAAAAGGCGTCTAGGGGTGAATGAAATTGCACAAGGTTGAGAAGCTTACAGAGCAACAGATACGACTTAGTATGGGAAAATTTTAGCTGAAGGAAGCCAGCAAAAGTTTTGAACTAATCAGCTCCACCTAGGGTTTCTCCTTATAGCAGACTGTAGAGCACTAGGTAAAGGTTGGCTCAACCATTCCTGTATGCCAGTTTGGTCTCAGAGTCAGCAATGCTGAGATATAGCAGTAATCCACACCACCTAAGATGCCCAGTCCATTTCAAAGTGTGCTTGAGAGAAACAAGTTGTGATAGGATAGGAGGGTGGAAAAAGGGAAGGGGGAAGTACATGAGCCTGACATGAGTGTGAAAATCTGACTCCCGAGTCAAAGGGGCAGGAAAGTGATTAATGAATAAAGACAAGGTTAATTAAAGGTCATTTTGCTTGTAGCTTTTTCCGTGTGTGTTTGGTTATGTCTATGGGAACCGTGCTTTGACCAGATGGCTGGCTCTGTGTTACCAGGAGTGTGTGTAAATCTGTAGTCTAGTCAGGTGCTGCTCATTTGAGAAAAATGAAAAAAAAGCAGAACTATACAAAGAGCAAAACATCAAGTAGCTGTTCTTACAGCTGTGGGATTCTATTCCTATCATTCTTAATTTGAACATTTTTCTTTCCAATAATTCAGAATTTTTATTATTAGTTTACTTTTTCTTTATTTTGTACAGAAGAGTTCGATAATCTTTAAAAAAAAAAGACTAAAATCTTTGTAAAATATTGTGTGTGTGATTCCTTGTAAAATATTTTCAAATTGTTTATTACAGAGGATCAGTTATTAAATAATGTTCATATTTTCACTTCAAATGTAGTGACTCTCTTTACTGGCTTACAAAGGCACATGAATGAGCAGGTACCATTCTCACCTTATGTTTTGATACATGTTGCTTTTAATTTCTTTTATCACAATCCTGAAAATGGGGAGAGAGAAAAAAACGAAAAGATTAAGAATCAATGGAATCCTGAGGGCCCAGAAAGGATTTGCAGGTTCTAGCTCAAAACACAGTCTGCTTTCAAAACAAGCTGGGGATGCTCAAGAATTTAATTCCTGTCTATACTACTACTTCTCACACTGCTATTTCCCTATTTGATCTGGGGCAGATTTATGTTGCTTAATTAACCATCACTGAGAGGTTACCATATTTTCCCCCAGGTGGTTCCACCCAATGGCACACACAGAAGAGATATTCTCCAGTCCGAGGACAGTTTTGTTTTGTTTTTGTGTTTTTTACAGAAAAAGGACTTTGCTGAGAGGCCAAACTAGAAGATTGGCTTTCTAAAACCAGTACTGCTCTATCTCTTAGGAAACAGACCACAAAACTGAGGGCCCACTCTGTAAATAGTGCAGGTCAGAAAAAAAGGGTTTGTATAAACAATGGTTGAAATCCTGTTGCTTAGCATAAGTTCCATTACAGTTAGCCTACTGACTCTGAGGATTTGGTAAGTCAACTCCTCCATAAGTCCCATTGATTCAAATGGGTCTACTCTAGTTGCAATTTAGTTTAGTGTAGTACGTTACAACTAGATTAGGTCCATTGAACCAATGGAACTTATATAAGTGTTGGCTCACCAAATTCCCACTGATTCAATGGGCCTACTCTAGTGCGACTAAGCAAAATGATTTCAGCCAACATCCAGCTCTTACATTCTTTGTGTGGCAAGTAACCATCTTCCAGGGGCTCTCAAGCTAACTGTGCAGGTCTTATGCCTCCCTTTCTCCTCTACGGGACCACATCAGACTGCATTGGCAGCTGAAGAGCAACCATATCGAGGTAGCCTTGGATTTCTCACTTCTGCAGCTTTGCTGGTGTTTGTAAGAATCAAAGGAGAAAAATATGAATAATTTGTACTACTGTAAAGGGGTTCTGAAAAATATGTTGTTCTTTAGTTGTTAAGTCGTGTCCAACTCTTCGTGACCCCATGGATCAGAGCACGCCAGGCCCTCCAGTCTTCCACTGCCTCCCGGAGTTGGGTCAAATTCATGTTGGTCGCTTTGATGACACTGTCCAGCCATCTCGTCCTCTGTCGTCCCCTTCTCCTCTTCCCTTCACATTTTCCCAACATCACGGTCTTTTCCAGGGAATCTTCTCATGAGATGGCCAAGTATTGGAGCCTCAGCTTCAGGATCTGTCCTTCCAGTGAGCACTCAGGGTTGATTTGGACTCTCATTGACAGGTTTGTTCTCCTTGCAAACCAGGGGACTCTCAAGAGTCTCCTCCAGCACCACAATTCTAAAGTATCAATTTTTTGGCGGTCAACCTTCTTTATAGTCCAGCTCTCACTTCCATACATCGCTGCTGGAAAAACCATACGTTTAACTATGCAGACCTTTGTCAGCAAGGTGTTGTCTCTGCTTTTTAAGATTCCTCCAGACTAGCCTTCCGCATGATGTGTTCTGCATATAAGTTAAATAAGCAGGGAGACAATATACAGCCTTGTTATACTCCTTTCCCAATTTTGAACATCTCAGTTGTCCCATATCCAGTTCTAACTGTTGCTTCCTGTCCCACATATAGATTTCTCAGGAGATAGATAGGGTGACCAGGCACTCCCATTTCTTTAAGGACTTGCCATAGTTTGCAGTGGTCCACATGGTCAAGGGCTTTTGCACAGTCAATGAAGCAGAAGTAGATGTTTCTCTGGAACTCTCTGGCTTTCTCCATAATCCAGCTCATGTTAGCAATTTGGTCCCTAGTTCTTCTGCCCCTTCAAAATCCAGCTTGTACTTCTGGGAGTTCTCAGTCTGAAGCCTACCTTGTAGGATTTTGAGCATAACCTAAGGCCCACTTGACTTCACTCTCCAGGATGTCTGGCTCAGGATCAACAACCACACTATCTGGATTGACGGGGACATCCAGATCTTTCTGGTATAATTCCTCTGTGTATTCTTGCCACCTTTTCTTGATATGCCTCTATCCGTAGTTCTTCAGGCATTCGGTCCACCAAATCTAGATCCTTAAATCTGTTCTTCACTTCCACTGTGTATTCATAAGGGATTTAGATTATATCTGAGTAGCCCAGTGGTTTTTCCTACTTACTTCAGCTTGAATGTTGCTATAAGAAGCTGATGATCACAGCCACAATAGCATGTTGGACCCCTTCTGACCTGAGGGGCTCATCCTCCAGTGTCATATGTTTTAGGCTTTGTTTCTGTCCATGGAATTTTCTTAGCAAAGATACTGGAGTGGCTTGCCAGTTCCTGCTCCAGGGGGATCATGTTTAGTCTCCATTATGACCTGTCCGTCTTGGGTGTCCCTGCATGGCATAGCCACAACAAAGCAGGAATCCATCAAGGGGGAAAAATAATATACTTTCAAAACTAGCAATGGGGAAAGCACATTTGGTGGAGATCTATATACAGCAACCTATTCCTAATACTGTACCATAAACAAAGTTCAACTGGTCTGCAATCCTCATATGACCACATTACTATTTTGTAAAGTGCAAAGTATGATTTTACTGCGTAGAAAATTGTTTCTTCTTTTTTTTCCTAAATAAATAAATGTAGTGCTAGGGTGTTGTGTGCAATAAGTAAGAAATCAATGACAACTTCCTGAAGAAAAACTAGTTGGACCATGAATAAGTTAACATTTGGGCACAATGAAACAATACATATCCATCTACCTACTAGACATTCCTTCATAATGTTAGCTTCTGTATTCAACAAATGAAAACCAAGAAGCAATACATCCAGTAATGACTACATTTAAAAAAATAATAATTTCAAAATCTATCGTCAGGAGGAAAGGAGATATCAGAAAGGTCGTGATTCTACAACTTCAAAGTATAAGTTACCGTAAATGCACTGTTGGATAAAATGAAAAACTGATGTTGGGGGGGAGGGAGCCCTTTGAGACCTCCGAAGGTAATTTTTTGAAATGCTGGAAGGGATTAATTCCGTTCCCATGCATTTCAATGGAAAAGGGTACTTCGACTTACAAACTTTTCGACGTACGAACACCGTTCCAAAACAGATTAAGTTCGTAAGTCGAGGTACCACCGTATTCTGAAAATATAATAGCAATTCCAACAAGTAAAAAACCATAGCCAGGGTATTTAGACACATCAGTTCATTCATCTCAGTCCCTTTTCCCAAGACGATGGTTCCCACTCCTCCAGTACCTTTATATTATATGTCTTATTGCTATTGAGAGAACAGGTGCTGAAATTAGGATTTACACTGGAGAGTTCTGTTTGCACACAGCATGGACTAAGTGGCATCTGAAGGAATTTCCCCCTTTTTTCAAAATTACAAATTTATTTCAAGATGACAAAGAAAAAATGTGTGTGTCAGAAAGCAAAGTCAGGTGGTAGCATTGGATACTAGCATGTCTACACAGAGACCATGAACTCTGTAGGACAAGTTAAAGGGTCCTAATAAATCCAGATATGCATTTCTTCTTACTTCAACAGGTTGAAAGACAGTCTTTCCAAAGCATGCATGTTGTGCTGGTGGACCAATGAACGCAGGCTCTCTATTCATATATAACATCAAGGGGTGCCAAATGTCACTTCTCTAGTAATCTATGTTTTAGCCAAGAACACAGAGATTTTCTAAACTTTTTGACAAGAAATATAACTGCTGTGCATGCCACAATCAATAATAGGGAAACTAGTGCAGCCATGGATTCCTCTCTTCTGCAGCTTTGCTGGTGTTTGTAAGAATCAAAGGAGAAAAATATGAATAATTTGTGCTGCTGTAAAGGGGTTGTTCTGAAAAATACTACGTAAAAGCCTTTGACGGTGTGAACCACAGCAAACGATGGCAAGTCCTTAAAGAAATGGGAGTGCCTCACCACCTTATCTATCTCCTGAGAAACCTATACAGTACATGGGTCAGGAAGCCACAGTTAGAACTGGATATGGAACAACTGACTGGTTCAAAATTGGGAAAGGAGTACGACAAGGCTGTATATTATATAATCACAGAAGCTAGAAAACATGGGGCATTCCAACCCCATGTAGTACAATGAACCCTACCCCTGCAACTTCTCCAGCAACAACTATCATACTTATAGTTGGTATACAGTTCCAGCCACTACACAGTGATTTGATCTGCAGCCTGTATTACGTTTGAAATTCAGGGCTCACAGAGTCAGGGCTCACACAGGGATTTTGAATTGATTCAGTTCACTGTTCATATTGGATGCACTACCATTCACATTCCAGCCCACAGCCCCTGTTTCCTTCCTTCCTTCTTTCCTCTGGTCCTGCCTCTGTTGATCCTTTTATGGGGCATAAATATGGGAAATAATGAAGACCCAGTGATAGGGCGATCTAGCACTAACTTCATATATGTAATACATTTTTTAAAATTTTAAAAAATTGAGAGGAAAGAATTTGGAGTGCATGTTCTCCTAGTCCTGAACATCACATCCCAACTGCCTATGTCACCAAAAGACCATCTACAGAAATGCATCCTGTCTTTACACAAAGGTATCACAACTACCACACAGGAAAAAGCCCATTCAAATTGTTCCAGCTTTAAAGAGGAGCTCTCCAGCAATGGGGGAAGGCGGGAAGCCATTTTAGGAACAAAAAGGACTGGACAGATTCAAATCAGTCTTTGCATCATGTAGACAGTAAAAACATACTTCAGAATCACTCAATTTATAAATAGAGCGAATCCCGGGTTATTTGGCCATATAGTAGAAGCCTAAGTCTAGTAGAGCCATGGTGTCAATGGGGAAGAGTTATTACTGAATGAAGAATGAATATCAGTGAATTGAAGGACACAAGTTCCTTTCTGGGAATATACATCTGCTTGTCTGTCAACGTTCTTTACTTTCAACTCATGTTATTGTGTGCATAATGTTCAGAGAACATTATTATTCCAGAACACACAACTCCAGCAATACATTCTAGAGTCCTACCCAATACAGTGGTGCCTCGCATTACAATGTTAATTTGTTCCAGCGAAATCGCTGTAGAACGAAAAAATCGTAAAGCGAAATAGAAAAGCCCATAGAAACACATTAAAACCCGATTAATGCGTTCCTTGAAACTTGAAACTCACAGTCCAGCAAAGATCCTCCATAGCGTGGCCATTTTCGCTGCCCGTGCAGCAAGGAATTTGTTCCAAAAAAGAGCAGGGAGCCTTTTTTTTTACCTGGTGGCCATTTTGAAACCGCCAATCAGCTGGCCGAAAATCATCGTTTTGCGAGAATTGGTTCCCAAAGCAGGGAACTGATCATCGCAAAGCAAAATTCCCCATAGGAAACATCATTTTGCAATCGCAAAAACTTCGTCGTAATGCGATTTTGTTGTTAAACGGGGCGCTCATCTTGCGAGGCACCACTGTATATGGTAATCACATGTTCCACACCACATATGAAATTTAGTACAATGTAAAACATGTAGCCTATTTTTCTCCTCTTATATGGAAAGAAATGTCTATCCCTAAAGCCACCACCCCCCGATAGTTAAGAAATAGGCAAGGGCCCAAATATAAGGTGCCTTTCTACTTTTATTAACATGCTAGTCAATTTGCTATTTGGAGAAAGGATTTCAAATTGATTTTTTAAAAGGACTTCTGATTTCTGCTTTAATTTCTAAAAGGGGAGCTGTCACAGCAAAATCAACAGTTTTAGTGACACATGTTTTGTTTTTGTGGACAAAGTAGGCTTCAGTCCACAAAAGCTCAGGCTACAATAACTTCACTTTTAAAGCCCCAGAAGACCAACTCTTTTTTTTGCATAAGTCATGTTTCTGTATTTCCTGGAGCCGAAGACTGAAGCCATTAATCACCTTTGATGAAATGGTTACTCTTCAGATCCTGTGTCTATGAAAAATCAAGCAACAGACCTCATTTAAGAGATGACTCTACATTTATTAAGCAGTTTTACAGTTTTGTTCCACCACCTGAAAATGATAGAGAATGTATATACTTAAAAAACTCAAGGATCTGCATCATTCCGTATTTGTTACACAAACATTACACCAGCCATCATGTTTGCTGTTGTTAAGTGCTGCCAGAGGGTTTGCACACAATGTCAACCCTATGAATAACCTTCTGAAGTCCCTACCATTGACAGGCCTGCTCAGGTCTTGCAGACTAAAGGCTGTGGCTTCCTTTAATGAGTCATCACTGCATCTACCAGAGAATAATTATTACATCCAGAGATACTTTACAGAGCAGCATAAACTTCTTGACTCCATTTACCTCATAGCCGTATTGGGAGAGAACGAAAATCTTGCACTCCCTCCTAATTCATGAACCCATCCACTACACTTTTTATTTTTATAAGCATAACCCACTTGAAATAAGTTAAACTCCTGCCCCCCATGTGATGCCTGCCCACAGGATGAAAGGATGTAATGTTGGTATTATTAATGCCAAGGGCAACCCTC